CCCCCCCCCCCCCCCCCGGGCTAACAGTGCGCAACTGTTTTTTAGTTGCTTTCTGTCTAATGTAAAAAAGTATTTGATATAATTCGGTACTGTCATGGAATGACACCGTAAGAAGAATATTTTTGTAAATTTGGTATGGTGTATTTTCGATCAGAAATAAAAGAAATCATATCCGAAGCATATATGGCAATGTGAGTACAGCAGATAATTCTCTCCCGTCCTTAGTAAATAGAATGTAACATAGTGCCCTCTCCCCCAAGGGAGAGAATGTAATTGCGCGATCACGTGTTGGCAGCCAATCGTTTTACGATAAAAAATTTAATTTCTCAGAGATAGTTAGAGGATTCTATTGTTCTGCCATCTAACATAGCTGCCTACACGTGAATATGCAAAACCTCTTTAAAAATAAAATAAATTATCATTTTTTGAGTCGTTCATTTAAAAGCAACACTGCTGATTAAAAAAAACTTTTACTTTCTTTTTTATTTTCCTTCTCTTTTGTTTCTTTTCTTCGTTTGACATTTTTTCGTTTGTTCTTTTCTTTTGTTGTTGTTGCTCTGGCAATACATTATAGTCTATACAACACAAGTAAGTAACGAGACAAGACACGTCAAATCCAAAGTCAACAACTAAGGACAACAAACAGTGATCTAACGCATAAGCAAATGGGTTCAAAACGATGGAAATACTACATTTTACTTGTAGGACTCAGTAAAGGTCAATACAGGGCCAATAAATTCGTATTGCCAGAATAATGATTTATAATAATTCATTAATTTATAGAGTAAAAATTTTGCACGTTTATCACATCACTTCAAATCCAAAATTGACATTGTTAATCATTTTCCCCTCATCTTTGGCATTACATCAATTATCATCAGTCAACTAACACTCAATACAAGAGTGAAAACACTAAACCCATGACATATAATCAAATGGTTAGTCAGTAATGGTTTTTATTTTGTGACTATTAGAGACTTTTAGTCACCATCACTCAACCAGAACAGTCAATGCACAGGAGACATCAAATACACAAGAGACATTTTCTTGTTTGCTTGTATATGACCATTTACTTGTCTGTACTCATTTAATTATACTTTACAACATGGTATCTTGTTTATTTGATGTGTCATGCGTATTGGTATTAAGACTGTTCCAGTTGAGTGACATTCGAGATTCATTACATGGATTAAGTGTTTTCATTCTGCTATACTTATCCTGGTTTGTCCTTGTTGACCAGAAATCGAGGCTTAATTGCAATTGACTCTGCTGAAGAACAAACAAAAGCAATCTATATTCCATTGTTCTTTTATTCTTCCTCTTTTCTTGCTTCTCTTTCCTCTTTCCCCCCTTGCTTATTCTTTTCTTCTTTCCCTCCTCCTCTACCTTCTTAGTCTGCATAGCAGGCGTTCTTTTGATGGGTTTGAGGAAGAATCGGGGTTTTGGGGTTCCTGTTTCGACCAAGGGCCTGCGAGAAAAATGGGACCTTGCAAAAAAAGGAAGGTTTCAATTCTCACTCATTCCAAAGTTCCCCCAAAACCCCGGTTTTTCCCCAAACCCACAAGAACGCCTGCTTTGCAGGCTACTACCTTCTCTCCCTCTTCCTTTCTTTCTCTCATCCCAAAAAATTACTGAAGAATATGTATTTCCGTACACAGACATATTTTTCATCATAAGCCATATCTTTCAAAATAGTTCTCCATATTACCTGGTTGTTTGTGTGTGACATCATCTGGGTGGCTCGAATCTTTCTCTGTTGATACTAAACAAGGTGCATTAATATAAAAACCAATTGAGAACATGGCACATTGTGCATGGGTATTTTAGAGAGATGGCACAAAAAACAAACCAAAAACAATTGTAATCTGGCCTATGTTACTATCAAAATAATTGGATTTCCTTTCTCATAGATAGACAGTTGCAGGAGTATCAACAACGTTGTAGAGGGATTGAATGAGCAGATTTTGCAAGGCAACAATTTCGTGATGTGCAGTTTGTTTGAGCAGATTTGCGAGGCAAAAACTTCATCATGTAGAGAATAATGCTATCTATGACTATTATTTTGATTGGATAAGTATTTATCTCACTCTTTGTGATTTGTTAAAAGGATGCCGTCATCGCCTTTCTACGAGTGTGCCATTTATGGCAATGTTTCATACTTATATAGACTTTGCTCAAAACACATATCATGACACAACTCACCATCTATTTGTACTAGAGGTAAGAACCCATCTTCCTCGGTCAGCTGTTCTAGAGCTGCTTGTTTTGGTTTGGGCTCTTTGCTGGTTGAGGATTGTCTACTTCTTTTTTTGGCTTTCCGTTCCCGATGAATCAGATTACATTTCTTACCCTTTGAGCATTTACCAGTGCGCGAGAACTCTTCACAGTCCAAGATGTGTTTCATTTTGCACTGAGAAACAAAAAAGAGAGAATGGAAGAAAAAGAAGCAGGGAAGGAAGGAAGAATGGGAAACAAAGTGAAAAAGGAAAAAAGTGACGAATAATTGAAATTTGGAATAAAGGGGAAAAAACGGAAAGAGGAAGGAGAGAAAACTTGGTCAAAAGTTTCCCACTGTACTAAACCAAGTAGCCTTACAGGACACTTCACCCATTATTTATCCTTCAATCCACAGGTCAATGGGCCATTTACAGCAAACAGTCACATGCTGATATATCACCTCGATAACAAATCAATGGACATTCATCATTCGTACTTTGTGTTTTGTGCTGATTAGTTTAATAGTACTATTTCACAGATGTATGAATAACTGAACAAAAGGGAGGTCTGCAAGGGAGTCTGGTTGTGGTAAATGAGACTACAATGTAAGTGACCTGTAAACGAGAGATACCTGTTGGCCATTCACACAGTAACCCCTGATAAAGTCTTGACACACGGCTGCCTTGCTATTGACATTAACATGAGAGTATGGACAGTCATCATTCGTACAGGTGCCCTTCAAGAAGAACTGGCATACAGGCATCTGTAAATGATAGGGATCAAGGTTCATGTTAAATGAGAGTAAAACAGAATTTATATCAAGACTAGTTAAGTTGAGAGCTCAATTAAGCACTTTCACATCCAGTGTTATGTGTCAAAAGTTCATCGTTGTTTCTTGTAAACAATGGGTCTTTCTTGGTGTTGCAAGATGTATTTTATTGTATTCTGGGATGTCATTCTTTGTATTGCTAGGTATTGTTTAGCTTCAAGCTCATTGTTTTTGGCTATTATCTCATTGTCTCCATAGCTCATTGGCTGCAACACCCAGAGAGAGCAGTAGTACCAGTACAGATGAATTTATATGATAGATAGAATTTATATCATTAGCGAAGAATCAAGAATCCATATGGTGCCCCATTCAACAGCTTTGTGGTTGGTTCAGGGGAACACATCTAATATTACTTCAATCAAACTCTATGTTGCTATCACTAGACTTCATTTCCAGCTTTCCAGTCTAGTCTGGAACCATGTGGCAGGTTTTCATCACCAAGAAAAGTAAGATTGCTAAGGAAATCGAAACCAGGAAATCCAATGGCTTATTCAGGCTGGGATTTGTGTGAGGTCAGGAAACATCATTCAATCCCAAATAATTGTTGCAGGTCAAATTCAATTACCTTGTCTTTGTCTATTTTGTGAGAGAATGAACATGTGCCATCAGTCTTTTTACATTTACCCTGCAGAAACCTATTGAAATAAGCATTAGCAACATTAGATTTCATGTAATCATGAACATTTGAGTTTTTCTGCTGTTTACTAAGGATATTTACATTCAAAAGCCACTTCATAGCACAAAGAGGCATAGAAAATGCAGGTTTCCATTATGTGTATTAGTTTTGATCCAAAAAAAGTTGAGAAATTTTAAATTGGATTTCGCATGAGTATTTGCAGCCCAAATGCAGGAACCCCTCTCTCCCAACTCTCACACACTCTCTACCCTACAGTTGCATAAAGACTTTAAAGTGTTAATATTCAAATTATTTTCTTGCACTGTTAACTACAGTGTGAACTTACTTGGTACAAACTGCAATCTTGGTTGGGTCATGAATGTAGGGACAGTTTACTCCTTTGTTACATTTTCCTGTTGCATTAATCAACACAGAAGCTTTAAAAATTATATTCAAGGGTCCGATATGCAAGATACATTGTCAGACAATGTTAAGGGCTGGCTTTTATTAGCAACACATGCATTAACCAAACAATATGTGGGGCAAGCAGTAGAAGCGAGTAGAACAAACCAATCAGTCCACTTTTTATCTGTACCTACATATAGCTATTTCATAAAAGATTGAAGGGGTAGACAGGAAGTGGTGAAATTGCATAGCCAAGAAAAATGTGGGCCTACATCTAAACACAAATAATTGAAGTGTTTTAGATGGTTGCTTCGACTACAAACAACACTAAATTAATATTTCAACAATAATAATCTGTGTGTTCTTGAGGAGGTCTATTCTTAGATCTTGGAATTACCTATTTCCTATTGCTTGTTACTTATCGCCATTCACCCATCCCCATTCACCCATCCCCATTCACCCATCCCCATCCACCCCTTCAACCTTTTTTGAAATAGCTGTATGTCATTGTGTTATCCTAGTGTCATGAATCAGCACCAGGTTAATTGGCACAACATCCTTTTTAACTGTTAATCTTCCACTAGTATAATGACCTTGTATGTTACAAAAATAATATCTATAAAGGAGTATTTATTTACCAAATCTGTTGTAAAACATGCAGTACTGCTCTGACTTAGACTTTGTCTTGACATTCTTCTTGTACTTGTACAGTATTGCATGCTGCACACTTCGCCGCACCACTCTACTGTTGAAATCAAAGCCTTTTGATTAACATCAGGAATCAACATTGTAATAGACCTTGTTAGCCTTACGTTATCTTTACCCATTCCATTAACCCATCAGACCATGTGTCATTCCCTAGAGTATGATTTCTTTGTTTAATGGCTGCACATGAAAAGACACATGTGACAATATCGATCAACTGAAACAAAGAAGCTTATTCTCGAGAGAATGACACATTAAGCCAAAACTAAGCATTAAGCATTGGTTTTTTAGGGACTACAAAATAGATATTAATTCCAGGAGTTTTTAAGACGATGGATAAACCTTTCTTACCTTGCTATTTTCTTATTCACTGCGTCATTACTCCTAACCAACACACCAGGTGCGGTCTGCACGAAGGTTACTCCTCCTATGGATACCTTACTCAAGGACGACCTACTCTTTGCATGTTTACCCTTAGTACCCTCTGATATTGATGCCGCCTCTCTTGGAGTATCTCTCTCTGGACCTTTTCTAATAGGGGTTTTCCCTGGATTAATTCTTGTGAGGGTTTTCCCTGACTCACTCATCAAGAATTTTTCTCCTCTGATGTTCAGAGTCATGGAAGGCCTTCTCTTAGCTGACAAGAAATACAAAACAAAATATAAATAATAGCTTCTTGATTTTGCAATGAAAAAAATTCTGAAGAGAAAATTTGGAAATTTGAAAAAAATAACAAAACCAAAATTATTTTCTAATATGGTTTTTTTGTGTAAAATTTATATTCAAAATTTCAAATACCAGTATATTTTTTCAATATATTTTTTTAATCTTAATATTCCTAAAAATTCTAAATATTTCTTCTCACCTTTCTTAGGATTTCTTCCAGTTTTTTCTTGACTTGCTTTCTGAAGCTTGTTGGCTGAAGATTTGTATTGTACTCCTTCAATTATGACCACTTTGTTGGATTTCTAGAATGACAAGACAAATGTTTGTTTAACTGCTTTAATTACTACAGATTACCATGGTTAACATGGACTATAGGTTACCATAACGACAGAATGCATGTAGAAATGGCCAACAATGAAGTAGCTTGACAGCTATTTGTTTTCAATGACAACCATATCAAGATATGAAATAATCTTTTCATTATCAATTCAATAACTGAACAAGCCGCTTTCTGTTGACACACATAAACATATTATAGCGATCGACCTTGCTTCCAATCCAGAAACATGCGAACTCAGTCGCTACAAGCTCTATCCTGAAATTTGGTTTTTCACTGTTGTGAGTCAAAAATATAAAAGGTACTGACTGATTAGTTTTGATTGACAGCAGCAAAAAAAAATTGCAGCAAAAAAAACAATTGTTGCAGTGTACAGCTCGCAACTTCTGAGTTTGCATGTTTATAAAAATGGCAGTAAAGTAGGACTTTGTCAAATTACTGTACCTCTGCCTTGATTGGATTCTTTCTCTTGCAATTTACAAGGGAATATCTACAAAAATGTGAATATTATTTACGAAAATATGAGTTACTGTTATCCTGTTAAAGCTGATTTCATAAAAATGCTTTCCTTTTTCTACACCATAGAACAAAATAAATCTTACCTTGAAACATGAACTGCTTTCCGAGGTACATCTTTAAGAGCTTTCTGTCTCCTATAATCAAAGCAAGAATAATAATTATATACAAACCACCACTGCCTATATGGGAAACCAATGAGTTTTTCACCAATTATTAATGGGGTGTGAGTAATATTGTAACCACCATGGCGAAGAGGAGAAATTCTAATTTTGTTACCATGAACCACCTCTGGGCTGATCAAAGTCCAATCATGGCAAGTCACGATTTGAACCCTGAAACAACTTTTGGGCTGATTTAAGTCAAGGTATGGATAACTCACAGATCGAACCCTGAAACAACCTCTGGGCTGATCTAAGTCAGGGCATGGCTAACTCATAGATCGAACCCTGACACAGCCTCTGGGGTGATCTAAGTCAGAGCATCGCTAACTTACAGATGGAACCCTGAAACAACCTCTGGGCTGATCTAAGTCAGGGCACGGCTAACTCACAGATCAAACCCTGAAACAACCTCTGGGCTGGTCTAAGTCAAATTGAATTTAGTATGGATGAAAACTGGAGAAACATCTTCAAATTAAAACAAAGATTTCAGTAACAAAATGAGCAAATTCTTGCCTTCTCATAAACCCTTTACTTTCTGAGGTGATTGATCTTCTTTTTCTTCTATCCAACTTTAGGCTCTGCTGTGATCTCCATACGAGGGTGTTACCATGAGAGGGTTTAACTGATACCCTTGTCGCATGTAAAGGTTTGTTTCCCAGTGTACTTCGATTCTTATTGGTTCTTATTGGCTTGGTCCACTTTAAGGAAGATGTTGAAGGTTTATTCATATTAGATAAACTTGAAGTTCTGAGAACAGAAGTTCCTAGTTTACTCCATGAATATGAAGATGATGAAGATTGGTTTATTTTCCCCTTGTTGTTTAAAGATGATGGCAATGAGTTCATTAAAATATGTGACGATGAACTAGATGTGGAAGGTTTATTCATATTGAATAAACTTGAAGTTCTGGGAACAGAAGTTTGTAGTTTACTCCACGAAAATGATGATGATGATGACGACCAATTTATTTTATCCTGGGTTTTTAAAGATGATGACGATGACTTCATTAACACATTTGAGGATGAATAGGACGTGGTAGAAGGAAATTTTGTTAATTTCTCGGAACCTGTATTGCTGACAGCACTGGATTCCAAATTCAATTTCGATTTTGCTGCAGCAATAGAAGATGATAATGATGACAATCTTGCAGACAGTAATGATCTTGAAGCAGACAAACTATTTACACCTTTCTTTGATGTTTCATGGAGCCACATCTCAGATACTATCCCCTCTCTTGTTTTATCATCATTTCTATCGAGTATCTTAGAACATTTATTATCTTTATCAACACTGACTAAGAATGATTTGCTAATATGCGTATCACGGGACACAGAAGGTCTTAGCAAAGGAATAATTTGTTCACTTTTCTGATATGAGTTATTGTTTTTGTAAGTTTTTGTTGTTCCCGTCCGTGGAAGAGGGTTCGAAGCAGACGTTTTCGCTCTAAATTCAACACTGTTTCCATCTTTTCGGCGATCTAAAGGGAAGGAATTGTTCTTGTACTGTCCTTCGTCACTCAGCTCATTTCGTGACGAACTTTCACTTTCCTTTTTGTTTTCGGAGCTTTCCTTTTTCCAGTTATATTTTACGCTACTTTGTTGTTTATTCGTGCTACTATCATTCTTTTTTATTTCCCTGTGAGTGCTTATGAGACCTAAAGAAACAGGAACGAATTAGAGAATGAAAAATAACGAAGATATTTTCCTGCAATGTTTGAAAATACATCGCAAAAAATAAATCCACCGTCAAAATGTATAGCTATAGTATAAACACACTATTTCATTAATTGAACAAGTCAATAACATAATGAAAAAAAGCGTTCTTACTCGAGAGAACTTCGATTTGTTTTCTTAGCTTTTCTGCGTCACTGTTGGTCGCCATCTTGGATTCTAGTTACCCAGAAGGCTGTTCGATGACGTCAATGCGGAAAATAACCACCACAGGAAACCCACTATAAATAATACTAGACGCACAAATGCGTAAATTCGGGCTTTCTAGTGTATTCACAGAATACGAACAACTATCTTTGTTGAATTTCGTGGCTATTCTCTCATGATTACAGATTGTCGGGCACGGATTAAATGTCAGGCAGGTTTTAATCGTTGATGATTTCTCGACTAAGACTAATTCAGGCAGTCAAATTGTGTCAAATATTCATTTATTACTTCCTGTGCAAAAACAGTTTTTGAAATTATGGTTTTAGCGCGCCTTTGTTTTCCCATATTTATGTTCACACATATGTTATCAAATATTCATTTTACTGTCCTTTACTCCCTGTAATAAATTTTAAAATTTTTGAGATGAATTTTATTTTGTCTTTGCATTCTTTTATTCATTCATTCATATCTTGTTCGCCTGCGAGCGCCGCATTTAATCCTTTGACATGCGCAGTAGTAAAATTAAGCTAAATGAATTAATAAGTGGTTACAAAAAATTTAATAGCACTTTCGAAAGATTATAAAAATCAAGATAACCAAAAAACGACGACATAGAAATGTAAAAAGCCGGTGAACTGCATCGTAAATGGAAGGCTGTATTCATGGCTCTAGTGAGAACGTTTCTTTGCGTGGCATTGCCGTTGTTCTTCGAAGTATCGTGTCTACCAGAACGTAATGAAGACACAAGACTGTCATTCTTTGCTGTAGGGGACTTTGGAGGGACTGATTTGTTCCCATTTTATACGTACACGCAAAAGAGAGTCGCTCAAACGATGGGAAAGGTTGGTGCTATTGAATTAGCAATATTAGTATGTAAAGAAAAGTTTTATAGTCCGGCACGAGTAGCTTGGATTTAAAACTATATTATATAGTTTCGGAATTGGAAAACATTCATTAAAACTTAAGTAAATGGGAAAATTTTTCAACCTTTTTATCACTAATTTGACAGAAAATTATAGTCTTTTAATTCTTCATGAGAGCAATTTTGTATAGATTCCTTGTAGGAAAACTGAGCGGATCTTATCTCAGGTCTCATAATAATCTTAACTTGTGGTCAGAACGTGGTCGTTTTGTTGCTTTTATTCAATTATTTATGAAAAACCTTGAGATTTAAACTGTTTTTTTAATTCAGCTTTTTGATCTTACCGGTGTGTTATGATAATGATAACAATCCTCTTTAACGATAGAAGACACCAAAAAAAAAAAAAATCATTTTATATCAGTAAAGACCTGATTTCGTTTTCATTCATTTCTTAATGACAGTTAATTTAGTTTTTTTTTTTTTTTTTTGTCATTTAATAAAGTTCTGATGTTGAAAAATGTATCGTTAAAAAAGACTTAAAAAAGAAAAAAGAAAAATGCACGAGAAGGGAGAATATAACGCGGATATTTTTCAATCTATGGCACAAAATCGCGTTATTTCTTTTCTCGAAAGTCATAAAATATGCCCCTGAGATCATTCAAACTTCATGTCGTTAAGTCATGCTTAACGAGCTTACATTGGTTCGAGATTCGAGCGAAGTTGCTTGTTGGCTCTTTCCTGTGCTTCGAAAGGTTTTCCCTATAGATAGGAGCCATGGCGTCACTCTTTTGAAATCAGTGTCTTAATGCTGAAATACAACAGCGAGAGCAGCCATTAAAAATCGTTTTGAGTAAGTAAACCAAAGAATTGCTTTAATGTTACCCAAGAGAGAGGCGCAAGGGATTCAATCAATATAGCTAATTGATACAATTGCTTAGTAATAGAACATAAATATTGTCGACAGCTCTCTATAACGTCATAACCATTTAGACAGAAAAAATCGTAACTACGCGAAACGTCCATTTTCAGTCATTTCCGTTGGAAATCTTCTTTTCTTTTCTTTATTCTTTCAGCGGCTTTAATGTCATTCATCTATTTATTTAATGGTTTCTAAATCTTTCTGTCTCTCTCTGACACACACTTGGTTTCTAAGCAGGTTTCTAATTACTCTATATTTCGCTTATTACTTTTTATTTGTCAGTTATAAGACCGATCAATTTTTCCTGATCCCGACCTTTCCATTCTTAAAATTTTTTACCCATTTCCAATAACTACATTTTATAAATTTCATACAGTATATCAACGAAAAGAAGTAAAAAAAGTTTTTTTTTCCAAACCACGACTATTTATATAACCGCGTCCTGAATCGATTCAATCTGGGAAACCATTTCATTGTTAGCAAATTAATTTTTTTTAGTAGATTGATAAATATGAAAAAAAAAAATAAAAAAATAGGACAACGAAAGTGAAATCGCGAATCGGGAGTTGAAGGATAAAAGCGAGGGAAAATAAGATAGTCTATATGTGTCTGCCACGGAATTGAATAAGCAGTGAAGTGCATCAGTTCCAGCTATTTTCGAAATTAACAATCACCATATACAAGGATTACTAAAATGCATGATAGATACTGTGGTATTTTTTATTTACTGTATGTTAGTAAACATACGAAACCTTGGAGAAACTGGCGAAATCTAGTGTTGAGATATGGAAAGGAATTAGAATTGCGTCTTTATTGCTATGAATTTTCGATTCTTTTTCATTTTATTTCATTTTATTTTATTCTATTTTTTCGATTCTTAGGTCTTTCAACAGGGCACCAAATTAGCTAAATTTCTTTCTGTCTTTGATTCTATTATCGTACAGTTAGCAGATCTTGGAAACATATCAATGATTCTCGGCTTGGGTGACAATTTTTACTATGATGGCGTGCAAACAGTCGACGATCCAAGATTCAAGACCACCTTTGAAGACGTCTACACTGCGCCTGCGCTAGAACGCGCCAAGTGGCTTATGATTGCTGGTAACCATGACTACCGTTCGAATATTTCAGCTCAGATTGCGTACACCAAGAAGTCTCATCGGTGGCATTTTCCTTATTATTATTTTACCACTGGTAAGATAATGGCAATTTCCAGTTAAATATAGGCCTTTTTCTTGTGGTCGAGTTTGGGTACAAACCGAACACCATAAAAGACATGTTTAACAAAAGATGTTCGTAAACCAAGCTAGACCGCAATGCACCATGTGCGCTATCTTAGACAATGCTTATGATAAGAAATAACAGAGTGGAAACCTATTTTTAAGGGGTATGCGAGTCCACAGCCAGCTTAAATAAGATCTCTCTTTACGTTCTCATACTTGTCTTTGAAGTTACCGAGGAACCTTGTTTGGATCGCCTGTGGTTCGCTTTCTGTTCTCTCTAATTATAATTTTCATTTTATGATACAAACTCAATTAACTCCTACATATCGTTTTATTTTGGTAAATTTCCATTCTAATTGTATAGTCTTCACAAGAAATAGTATGTAAAACCTTTAGAAGTCGAATAATTTATTGCTTTTCAGTGAAGAAGATCCCTAACACGGACATGACGGTGCAAATAGTTATGATAGACACGATGTTACTATGCAATGATGGAGAGTAAGTTTTTGAAAACGCATCCCACACGGGAAAGAGTGAGTATGGGGGATTAGTCATCAATAATAAAATACACATTTCGGGGTTTGTTGGTCATAGCAAGTCAGGTTAATCATCTATGGTCTAGGTGCCGACTAACCTCCCCCTTATGCCTGAGCAGTCTGTAATTCCTCCGGATAGTGGTGTCGGGGTCGAAATCTCCAGCATAGCCGTAAATGATTCGTGCTGCCATACGACGGTCCAGCATTTAATGTCTGGAGTTATAGTCGTGGTTACGATCTATCATCTTTTCCTGAACTGGCATTCAAAGATAGGAGTTTTCCTATTAGTAATAAAACAACACTTATTTCTTGCAGAAACTATGGATTTCCCTCAGCATCTGAACAGCTAAAATGGATCGTGAAGACATTGGAAGATTCCAAGTAAGTCAATAGGTTAATGGAAAAAGTCACGGAAAAACACAACTGAGTAAATGAATAATTAGCGAAATATTTTCAGGCAGCAGTGTTACCAACACGAATATTTGCCTTATCTGCTATCTTTCTATTCTCGAATGTCCTGGTATTTTGTTGGGCATGCGCAGTAACAATGACAGTTGAATCTGGGATTGTCGAGAAACTGCGTGCATCTACGAATGATCGGAGCAAAGCCAACGAAACTTTTACATTTGAGCTCTCTCTTGTCTTTTATTCTAATAGTGCAGATTATTTGATCGTCGGAGGACATCATCCTATATTTTCAGCTGGTTTCCATGGAAACTCTGATTGCTTGTTATCAAGTCTTAAGCCCCTGCTTGAGAAGTATGACGTCACAGCTTACATTAGTGGACACGATCACAACCTACAGGTTAGTATGCATTAAAGACAGTAATGAAGACTGATCCGGAAAGAATTCCTGAGTATCTTTGTTGAGGAAGAAGCTAGGTATCATGCGCATGCGCGAAATAAACTAAATCCTACCAATCTCGTACCCAGAGCCCTTACTTCTTACTGCGCATGCTCGACGAAATAAATTATTATCAGAGCCAGTAATGATGAAAAGGTAAATTATACACCGTGAAAAGATGAAAAAACTTACTGACGTTTCGGACGCTAGTCCTTCGTCGGAGTAAAATCAGAGCCCTCATTCTCGTACCCAGAGCTCCTCGGCATCGTTCCTACCCCTCGGTGGCTACACGTAGCCAAGTAGTCACAACATTCCATACCCATTGATAA